GTCTCACCCTCCTAAAGCTGTTAAGCCCAACACAGGTGATGGAGATGTTGATCTTTCGGGTTTAGCAAGAGATGTTTGAATGATATGGTATGATAAAATCTTGATGGTTGAGTAAGGTTTTTGATCAAACTTTATAAAAACATTCATAAGCTAGTATAGATGTGATCTCGTTTTTATGTCTATTTCTGCTGTGGATGTTTGTTGGACGCTTTTTAAATGATATATAGATTTGTGGGTTTTTAATTGTTTTATGTGGAAATCAAAGTCAAAAGTCAAAAGTCAAAAGTCAAGGGTATAGTAATGAATTATGATTATGATCCACTTTGTGTGGACTCACCTAATTGTTACATCTATCGATTAGGCAGTATGGCATGATTGGAATCGAATCATCTTTAATGTTTTTCTTAAGTAATATGTGATGATCACAAAGTTGTTTGAATCCTTAAAACTTTCACTTTGAAGGTTTTCTCCAATCATCATTTTGTTGTTTTACATCAAGATCAAATTGTTTAACACATCTGGTTTGTATTGGTTTTATATCTAGTGGGTTTGGAAAGAAAAATAATTCAAATTATCCCAAAATGTAGAGGAATGTGGAGTTTTCGATTGATCCTCATTGCTACATGAGAAAGCAAGCAAACAACATATAAAGATTAATATAAAGATTTATCTGTAGTCAAACTACAATATAGCATATATGAGTTACAAACCAATTCAAGGTTTATTTATTTATTTATTATATTAAATCGATATTAGGTGTAGTGTAAAGATGCTTTTCAATCAAATGGTTGAGAATTCAAGTCTCATGGCATCTGAGTATCAGTTGATCTCCCTACTAATGGCATTACCAATTTTCATGGCATACTAGCTAATTGTAATGTAATTGTTCGATATGTAGTTGTAGTATGTACTTTTTGATGATTTAACTTTTATGAATATATATTAGAAACAATTCAAACAAACAATACATCAATTAAGAAAATGTTAACTAAAAATGATTATATTAATTAAAAAACATAAATTCATAATTTTTCTCTCAACATGAATATTTTTCTAGTAACTAGGATTTTTGTCGGTATTAATATAAATTAAAAAAAGAGACTACGATTGTTGGTGGCAAATGATGAGCTTATGATCTAAATAATATATAATGAATTGCAATTTAAAATATCGCTTGTCAACCTACAAAATTTTGTAACCATATCAAGAAAATCAGAAACCTCATAAACAATGGCTAACCAGAAACTTTTATAAGGGCTAGCACAAAAAAAAAAAATCCAAATAAAAGATAATAGGATAATTTATTATTAAAAAAATATGATTTAATTAAATATAACTAGCCAAAAGTCTTACATTTTAAAGTTGATATCTTCCCTACCCATTTATAGAAAGTGCTTCATCACTCATTGCATCTTAAGATCCATAAATGTTTTTTTTCTACACTAAACATTGTTCAGAAAATCATAACTCATTTTATTACATAAGTTGGTCTTAAAAAGTTTTATTATGGAAAAACATCTTTCAACGTTTGTGATTGCAAGAGGCAAAACCAAAATCAACTTTAATAACTTATCAACAAAAAGAAAAAAATGATGTCCCATGATTTCCACCATCAAACGAGAAAGGTCCACATAAAATGTTACTATTAATATAAAATATTTCACAAAAAAGAAACATCTTTAAAAAAAATCTATAATGTCGTATTTTATGTATATAATTTAATGGGGGATTTGGTTATATGGTAAATTGCATGTTTGAATACATAATAATAATTCAAGAAAAAATAACAAGTTGGTACTGTAGCCTTATCCTAGTGAACTAAACAAATTTGATATTATTACTATATATCATTAAGCTAACAAAGGGAAATGGCCGAATGGCCTTGTGGCTAATTAATTCTTCTAGTAACTGCATGTTCTAATTCCAACCGAGTCATTAGAAAAAAGAAGTCAAATATTTTTAACTCATGTGGAAAGAAAATGAGGGGTAGCACGTGCTACCCTGACAATAAGTTAGTTCCGCCACTGCTCATAAAATGGGTAACTATAATCGTAATAATATCTATCATTGAAAAAATCTCCTTCAAAGTGAATGCTATCATTGTGATAAAAACTTTCATAAAATGATCGACTTATAAACTCAAACCAATTTGGTGGACTTTGAACGAAAGAAGTTGAAAAGACCCCTTGAACAATGTTTAGATCGATTTATAAACTCAAACCAATTTGGTGGACCTGTTATTCTTTCCAGAAAAACTAACATACTGAAAACATCTGTGAAAAACGTGTGAAACGTTGTTTTTCTGGATGCTCAATATGTATTGAAAAGAGCCCTTGAAACTTTATCCTTATTTTTTTCCAATAAATTCACACGTTAAGTACATTTAATACATTAGATGAGAATCTCACAATCTTGTGAGGTGTTTGCGAGCAATTTATTTTCAATAGATTAACTTCATGGATATAACCAACTATCAATGTAATCTTTAATAATGTTGAATTAGAAAACGAACTATTGCATCAACAAATGTAAACCGACTCCTCATAAGAGGCTTGTTATTTGCCAAATAATGAACCAACAATACATAAACTAGGAAATATATATTTTCTTCTAACAAAATATAGTAAAATTATGGATATTCTAAACATACTCAATGATGAACCAACAATACATAAACTGGTTATCAGTACCAACACTGGTACCAACAGTACCAAATTCCGAATTTCGTAATTTTAGAGTACCAGTATCATTCCATATGTTTAAATTCGGTACTGGTACCGGTAGGACACCAGTACAAGATCAAAATTTGATCGTACTAACTGCTCATCCCTAATAATGAATGATTAACAATTCGAAATGCCAATAATCACATTACAAATATTATACATGAATCACATTATAAATATTATACATCTACCTACATATATAATCTCAAAACTCTTAAATAGGTCGATACATGTAGCCTCAACTTTTTAGAGATTATATTTATACATTATGATCACATGTCTGCATGATTGAACTCTACGCATGGAACGAGCAAAACATTAATACTCGCAATGAAAAAAAAAAAAACACTTTGTGTCCAAAGAAACTTGCCTTTGAGCTCGTTCTCATATCTTCGTGATTATTGTGGTTATTTTGTTAAACTCCTAAATAATGTGACTTTGTGGCGATATATTTCCAGTTTATATAAGCATTTTAGTGAATAACTCATGGACTATTCTAGGTAATTGAGACTATTTACATGGGGCCAAAGGGGGGTCGAAATAATTCAATACCCGTTAGATAATAACTTATGATGTATTTAGTTGATAGTCATGGAATTTGGTTGTTAGTCAAGTCATTGATAAACAAAATTGAAATGAATACAAGGTTTGGAAGTTAAGAATATGAATCATTTGGTGTTTAAATTTAACATTCAAAATCCATTGTGATATATGAGTATACAAGAATTAAGCTGTCTCCGGCAAAGGCGGCCGGCCGCCGGCCGACTTAGTTATAGACATCCTATCCATATGTTTATTATTTGTCCAAATTAAGGTTTATATATGAATATATATAATATATATAATCATTAGTTGTTGGATTATTTCTAGGTAAATGGAAGGAGGGTAATTTTGTCTTGATGTTATTTGTTTTTTAATTATTTAATTTAATTCGATAGCAGCCGTTTGTCAAACACCCAAGTCGTGCAAGTGCTCCTCCACTATAAATTATATTATTATATACTTATTTTTTATATAAAGATAAATATGACTTTATAAAGTGGCTGTTCTTTGATTCGAAAGAAATTTATTAAAACAGAAAGTGCTCGATCGGTATGAGATTGCATTTCATTATTCTGTTGGTATCTTAATGATTGATTTGTGAATATAATAATATACTTCATAATATAATGTAAAAATTGGCAATTATCTTAATTAGTGATAAAAATTAGTAACTTAATATCATCCGAAATTAGATTCCAAATGGTTAGAATTAATTATTCCATCAATTGACGATTCTTACGATATTCATATTTCATCCAAAAAAAAAAAACAGCTAAGCAAGATCCTTAATCTAGTCAAACAACTAGTAACTACTCAGCCGTCTTACACAACAACATATTCAAAAACTTAGAACATGCAAAAAATCTATTTTTGCTTTTTTATATCTTTAAACTTTATATGACATTTAACTTTCTAATTTGGTTTTAAGTGTTTGATATGTCTTTTAATGAGTATTGTAAAATGTAAAGATTGAGTATAACTCAAATGATTTGATACCATAATCAGAAGTGATTCGTTTTTATAGCCTCTTCTTTGATTATAAAAAATCAAATATTTTTCTATTTTTCTTCTTAGTTTACATGATAACAAATATCTTAAAATATTATTAATTTTATCCAAATACAACACATAAATTAAAATAGAAAAAGGGAATCATGCAATTTATATAAATTGAAAAAGAAAAATGTATTAATATGATATGAAGATATGTATAATCATGTGTGTGCCTATTGCCTAACGCGTTTGAAAAGATCCCAACTGAAAAACCCGTCACTTTCCATCATTTCCCTCGTCAATTTCTGCGACCTCCACGCTTCTCACTCGCTCTCCGCCGTCCTCCTATATATAAACACGTAAATGACTCGTCCACGAGACACATTCAAACTTCTCCTTTTTTCCAAGGCTACTACTTGTCTAAAGAGACCTAGTAAACCCATTGTAAGTTGCAGATTTTCGATCATATTCATACCCACTATTCTTTCATCATTTCTTTCAAATTCCCACCACACCCACCTCCCAACTTCGATTTTTAGTGAAAAATTACACGTCTTTGAACCTTTTTATGGGTACTTCGGTTTGATTTGTATAAGAGCTTTATCTGATTCGGGTGATTTGCAGTTGCACACCAACTGTTTGTTCAAACGTCTACACACCGATTCCTTTAGTGAAAAGGGAAGTAGCTCATAGTATCGACTATTTGTTGGTGTGTAGAAGGATTAGATTGAATTTCAGATGGGAAATGTATGTGTATCATGTTACTCAAAGGATGGATTCTTCCAATCAATATCACATCCATACTGGTGGTCTCGATCACCTGATATGATCTACTACAAAAACGAACAGCTTAGCAAATATCCACCATCAACACAGCAAGATCCAAAACCTCCTACCCCTACTCAAAACACACCTCCAAAACTAGTGATCATAGCCAAAAACGACACCAAACCACCTCCACCTCCACCTCCACCCATAGTTTCATATCAAGAAATCAAAATAGACATAAAACAATCCCAAAAGGAAAAAGCTTCAACAAATCCAAACCCCAAAAAGCAAAACAATGTGAAGAGAATGTTGAGTGCAGGTTTACAGGCTGACAAAGTATTGAAAACAAAAACTGGGCATCTGAAAGAGTACTACAACTTAGGTCAAAAGCTAGGACATGGTCAATTTGGTACGACTTTTCTCTGCATAGAGAAAACCACAGGAAAAGAATTCGCATGCAAATCAATCGCGAAAAGAAAGTTGTTAACTGATGATGATGTGGAAGATGTCAGGAGGGAAATTGAAATCATGCATCATTTATCTGGAAACCCTAATGTGGTTTCAATTCAAGGGGCTTATGAAGATTCAGTTGCAGTTCATTTGGTTATGGAACTTTGTGCTGGAGGCGAATTGTTTGATAGAATTACCAAAAAAGGACATTATTCAGAAAGAAAAGCAGCTGATCTTGCTAGAACTATTGTATCTGTGATTGAAGCTTGTCATTCTTTAGGTGTTATGCATCGTGATCTTAAACCTGAAAACTTTCTTTTTGTTGATGAACATGAAGATTCTCCTCTTAAAACCATAGATTTTGGATTATCGGTTTTCTTTAAACCAGGTACTTTTTTAATCATTCATATCCTTTTCTTGAATATTGTATGTTTCTTGAATGTTTATGTTAATGTATTTTTGAATTATTGTATAGGTGAAACTTTTGTAGATGTGGTTGGAAGCCCTTACTATGTTGCCCCTGAAATTTTGCTTAAAAATTATGGTCCTGAAGCAGATATATGGAGTGCTGGTGTGATTCTTTACATTCTTCTTTGTGGGGTCCCACCTTTTTGGGGAGGTAAGTCTAAAGGAATAAAAGACTAATAAGTTAATAACTTATCAAATACTCTAAACTTTCTTTTTAGTGACTGAATTTATGTTCTTTTTTTTCATGATAGAATCTGAAAATGAGATCTTTGAAGAGGTTTTGAGGGGTAAACTCGACTTTTCCTCAGATCCATGGCCTAGTATCTCTGAAAGTGCTAAAGATTTGGTTAGAAAAATGCTCATTAAAGACCCCAAAAGACGAATAACAGCTCATGGTGTTCTTTGTAAGTCTTGGTTGTTAAAAAGTTTCCTATAAAAGAAATTAGTATTCTTTAGGCTTCTTATTGAACATTATTTACGATTAGGCCATCCATGGATAAGTGAAGATGGTGTTGCACCAGATAAGCCTCTTGATTCTGCTGTTTTGAGTCGTTTAACTCAGTTTTCTGCCATGAATAAGTTCAAGAAAATGGCTCTTAGGGTAACATTTTCAAGCTCTTTAAAAAAATGCAGATAAATTCATAATCCCACTTTAAAAATGTAATCTTTTTTCAAACCCATTTTATGTTTTTACAGGTTATTGCTTCAAAACTCTCGGAAGAAGAAATTGCAGGATTAAAACAAATGTTTAAGATAATAGATACAGACAACAGTGGTTATATAACTTTTGAAGAACTTAAAGCTGGACTCAAACGTTTTGGTTCTAATCTTACGGAGTCTGAGATTTATGATCTAATGCAATCTGTAAGTATTACTAATTCATCTTTTGGGCAAATTACTGAAAAACCATTATATTTTGGACATTTTTGCATGATGATATATTAGGTAAAAATGGTTAATTTGGAAAAAAGTTTGAAACTTTACGTGTTTGTTTGGAAAAAAGATTAAGTATTAGTGGTTAAACTGCAAAACGGTTAAAGTATAATGATTTTTTTTGTAGTTTATCATAATCTTTTTGCCTTTCTTTGTTGCATTTCTTGAATTTTGATTGATTATAATGAAAATGCAGGCGGATATTGACAATAGTGGTACTATTGACTATGAAGAATTTGTAGCTGCAACATTGCATATGAACAAAGTCGATAGAGAAGATCATTTATTTTCTGCTTTTTCATATTTTGATAAAGATGGAAGTGGTTATATCACACTTGATGAACTACAACAAGCATGTAAAGAATTTGGAGTAGATGATGTTCATTTAGAAGAAATCATCAAAGAAGCTGACCAAAATAACGTAAGTTTTTCACTAATCTATTTATCCAAAAACTAATAATATTTACATGAATTGAAATTCATTTTGTTGTTAATTTGTAGGATGGGCGTATAGATTACAATGAGTTTGTTGCAATGATGCATAATGGAAGTGATATTATGAGGGTGAAGCCATTGAAGGATGATTTTAATATGATGTTAAGGGAGCCGGTTGCGGTTTGTTAATATGAATATTTATATTTATTTGATTTTGTAATTAAATGTTAAAAATGGCATCTGACTTTTGAATGCTTCAATAGTCTATGAGGTGTTGCATTTTGACTTATAGAATGTACTATTGTTCTTGTATACACGTGAAATGAAAAGATATAACAAAGAGAAAGAGTTGACTGACTATGTTGTTGTGGGTCTTAATGTGTTGTGGATTGGGTTGTGATCGATGAAAACTATGTATGTACAAAGTTTTATGATTCGTTAGATGATATTATAAGTAGTTGATTCTTAGTGAAAATATTGTGACTTTTTTCTTAGGATGATCATTTTTTTGCTATTTCAGAACGTTAGTAATTATTATGTTTTATTAAATTATACATTTAACTCGTTTCGTATAAGTCTATGGTTCTATGCAACATGTTAAGCTCATCCCATGTGGAAACGATAAATCGTCTGGTCTGGATGGTTTTACTTTTGGATTCATAAAAACATATTGCGACTTACTAAAGGAAGATATCAACGACTTCGTTACTTTTTCAGTTTCCTAAAGGATACAATAGGCTGTTTGTTGCTTAGATTATGAAGTTTCAAGTTCCTTTTGTTGATGATTATAGGCTCATTAGCTTATCGGTTGCTTGGATTTTATGGGTTTTGGAGAAAGATGGTAGAGTTGGATTCAAGCTTTTTTAAGCTCGGCAAAAGCTTCGGTGTTAGTGAATCAGAGTCCTACTAAGGAATTCCATATCGAGAGGGGTATTAGGTAAGGGGATCCACTCTTTCTTTTCTTGTTCATTATTGCAATGGAAGGGCTCCATGTCGCACCTGAAGATGCAAAAGTACATAATCTTATTTTGTCACATCTTTTTTATGCAGATGATGTTTTGTTTCTCGAAGAATGGTCTACGACAAATATTAAAAATATGGTAATGGCGCTTAATTGTTTTTACCTTGTGTCGGGTTTAAAGATGAATCTTCACAAATCTAATATCTATGGTATGGGGGTTCGGTGTGATCAAGTAGTGGGAATGGTGAGTGTTACCGGTTGTGCTCCGGGAAAACTTCCATTTAAATACTTGGGTCTTTCTGTGGTTGAAAATATGGCTCGTATTTAGAGTTGGTAGGGCATTATACTATTATCTATAGATGGTCGTGCTATGCTTTTGTCATCTATCATTGGTTCGTTGGGTATTTACTTCATGTCTTTGTTTTTTATGTCAGTTCAAGTTAAAAAGGAGCTTGAATCTCTTAGAGCTCAATTTTTTAGGGTACGGAAAACGGGGCTCGGAAAATACATTGAGTGGCATGGGACTTAGTCATTGCTCCAAAGGACCACGGATTAGTAGTTTACATTGTTTCAATCACTCTCTTTTACAAAAATGGAGATGGCAATTCCTTACATAACCGAATGCGTTATCGGTAAAAGTTATTAAAGCGTTATATGGGAGTTGCTATTTTCCTTATTTGGATTGTAATAACCGAGGGGGTGGGGTGTGGAGCCGAATTTTAAAGTCGTGTTATGCATGAGAAAGGGGTGATCCCTTTTTCCACTTCTTTTCGTAAAGTGGGAGACGGTTCAACTATTTACTTTTGAAGAGATATATGATGTGAAGGTGTTCCTTAGGCCCTTCGGTTTCAAAGGCTTTTTTAAGTGGATAGAAACCCAAATTGCTTTGTTAAGGATCATTGTTAGGATTCTCAATGGGTTTGGGGGTGGTCTCGCGAGCTGAATCAAGGTGTTGAGACTTCTCAATTTTTGGAGGTTCGGTCTCTTGTAGAAGGGACCCGATTGGGAACAAGTCAAGATAAGTGGTGGTGGGATTTGGAAGATGATGACAACTTTACTATCAAGAGCACTAGACGGTATGTTGAGCAATTAATGCTACCGGATGTAGAGAGTGATATGATTTGGAATGTTTACCTTCCTAGGAAGGTAAATATTTTTACTTGGCGTCTTCTCATGGATCGCCTTCCTCTTAGGACGAATCTTGTTAATCGCGGAGTGGATGTTCAGTCGGTTCTTTGTTCGTCTTGTAATCGGATGGGGATTTCGAATTAAAATGAAGAGAATTGTACTTCAAGTGGTTATTCAGACAACGTGGTGGGTTCTTTGGAAGTTTTGGAATGATTTGGCTTTTGGAAATACTTCATGTCGTAAGGAGTTCATTATTGATTCGTTTTTGTGGTTTTGTAACAAAAATAGAAAATCACGGATGTCTTGGTCCGGGTAGTTATGAAACCTTTTACTTCTTTTGTAATGTTCTTTTTCTTCTAGCTTCTTGTTGGTTTTTTGAATAAATTTAAGCAGTTCAAAAAAAAAGCTTAATCGGTTGTCAATACAAGATTGTGCCAAAGATTCTTGCTAATAGACTTAGTCAGGTTCTTTCGTCGATTATTGGTAAGGTAATCGTATTTTTCTTAAGAAGCAACGAATTTTTGATGGTATGTTGGTTGTTAATGAGGTCATTGATTGGGAGAAAAATAATAGAAAGCGAGTTATGTTTTTCATGGTTGATTTTGAAAAAGCTTACAATATGTTAACTTGGGAAGATTTGTTAAAAAACATGTAAGCTATGGGAAAGATAGAGAGGCTGGATCAAGGCTCATTCAAAATCATATATGGTGTCTATATTGGTCAACGGTTCTCCTACAAAGAATTCTTTATCAAGCATGACCTTAGACAATGCGACTTCCTTTCTCCTTTTTTATTTCTTGTTGTGATAAGGTCTTCACATAGCGATAAAATAGGTTTGTCTTAAAAAAAATTCAAATCAGTTGTTGGTTTGCAAGAGATAGAGTTGTCCCATCGTTTTTATGTGGATTATTCGTTTATACGCCTCTTATACTTCGTTTCATGTCTTGGCATTAACCTTTCAAAAAGTTGTTTATTGGAGTTAGTGTTACAAACGAGGAGATTAATGGCATTGCTAATGTTTTGGTCTATAAGGCAAATAAACTCTCTTTTATTTATTTGGGAATTCAGTAATTCCATAAATATTCGAAATTGAATGTCGATTCTTTATCTTACAGAGGCCATTTAGCACTTTTATATCGAACCTTGGATTGGAAGTCTTGGTGTTTATTATTTTTCTCTTTTCCAGTTGCCTAAGTTGATTTTTGAAATCACTAGAAAGTGCTCTTAGTAAAGGGGATCATGTCTTAAATTCAATGTTCGACTTTCTTACAAAGAACCATGTGGACAAAACGACCCACAAGGCCATGTCCCTTCATCTTTACGAATGAAATAGCTGTATCACTTATATGGTGACAAACCGAATAGATCATAGATGGCATGATCATGTCACTCACAAGGAAAACATGATACGACCGTGCCAACAAAATATAACAAAATCTTAGAAACATGGAAAAAGTAAAAAGATCGAATATAATAATACTCAATTTGAGTAAATATCAAATAAGAAAGAAGGTATCTCGATTTCTTTTGTTCTATTTTTGAGCTTGATGATATGGTTTATGGTTTGCAATGACTTTGGCTTAATCAATAAGTCCTAAACAAACGAATACATAGAGGGTTAATGACTTAATAGGGTAACAATCTATTTTATGTGTGCATATTTGGTCATTTTACTTTTTGCGTGGACTATTATCCAGTAACATTTATTTTTGAAGTACACCATTATTACCGGTTATTGCACGTAAACCAGTTTGTGGGTTTGAGTTACATCTTTGGTGACAATTCTATGAATTTTTAGCGAGCCTAACTTTGTCCCTGTTTTTTACTCTCGAAAACCGGATCTAAAATGAACCAAAACAAAATCGAACACATGTTTTGCATCAAGAACATTTGTTTTCCATAAATCATTTGAAGGGGAAAACATGCATCTCGTGTGTATTTGAAGGGAAAACCCAAAAAAAATGTTAATGCAACTTGTATTCAATTGAGGGGAAAGAAACCTACAACTCGTGAAACCGATGATAAAAACAAAATAGAATGCAAATCAAGATACCAAAATTGTTACGAGTACTTCTCAAGACTCCTAATCTTGCAAATGGTTCTCGAAATCGAATCATTTTCGAATGCTATTGGATTGTCACATTAGAATGAGAAATCTAGAAATGGAAACAAACAAAGGTGCTAGGTTACGAAGACGTCGATAGAGATGCCAAATAAGCATTAACCTATAATATACGTTTAAATAAATAAAAACTAATTAAAATCATATAAAACAAATTCAAAAAATATTAAAAACATACAAAATTTATTCACAGACTAATTAAAAGCATGCAAAACTATTTTGTATAAGTTTTTATGTATGAAATACAACCAAAAAGTATAGAATAGAAAGAGTAATTGTCCACACATTAGATAGTCTGCATGTTGCTTTAATTGGCATTACGAGGGTACCTTCGTAGGAGGGAAAGGTGTCGGTGGTAACACCACTAACCCACACCTAATGATATATATTAAAAACCTAATAAATAAATGGTAATATTGCAAGTATAAGGACTCGGTTTGAACTTATTTAGGGGGTGTTTGAGATATTTTTTTACCTTCAAAAGTTCTTTTTGCAAAAAGACTTTTTTGTAAAAGAACTTTTTACAAAAGATGTTTTTAAAAATGTATTTGTATTAGTTTTTGAGAAGCAAAAGTCAAAAGTTGTTTTTAAAAGGTGTTTGGTAGTGGTAGTTAGGGGTATATGTGAGTCATGTAAGTGTGAAGGCTTCAAAAGTTCCAAAAAATTACACATACACTTTTTCAAATGCTCATAATTCTTCTTTATAAAAAATTAGTTTTAAAAGATCTTTTACATTTACCAAACATCTTTTATTCCATTTTAACTTTTTGGAAAAAATAAAGTCTAAAAATTAGATAAAAAGATTAAACAAACACCCCTTAAGTTATTTAAAAAAATAAAATAAAATTCATATTGTATAAAACTATTATTATATTAAAAAGAATAAATCAATCATAAATATGGATCAATTGAAGTGAAAGAATCATGTGGTTACGTTTAAGATGGTTTATTTGAAATCACCTTATACATATACATAATGATACGATTCATGATAATTAAATGACTAACTAGTATTTTGTTATTGAAAATTTTCTTTGCGAAGTGGACTATAAAAATATAAAATAAAGTTTTGAGCATCATGCAAAAATATAACAATTTAATTAAGAAATTATAAGAGTAAAAAGCAATATTAATTAAAACGAAAATTGTAACAACAAATTAGTAAAAGACCAAAAATACAACTTTAAAAGATAATAATGGACCAATATTATAACTTATATAATACCAATAATTTAGCTTTATAATTATAAATTATGAAAATTGTCAAATTAAAATTATATAAGAATAAAAAGTGTAAATATTGAAATCTTTTATTATCAGATCCAAAATCTCAATTTTTAGATAGCTCTTCTTATACGTCTTGTATTCGATGCTTTAAATATTTTCAAAGTTTCTAAGTAAAAATTTCATTTTAAAAGCCAATAGAAACATCATTCATTCATTTCAAAACCCTTCAAAACATGATAATATATAAAATAGTTATCAAAGTACAAATCAGGTCATAAAATATGGAATGTTGGTGGATGCGGTGCAATCATGTCAAGCGCTTCCATTCGAACTGGAAATACTTGAAACCATAAACATAAAATTGTAAGCACAAAGTTTAGTGAGTTTCCCCCTAAAATATCCCATACTATACATACATAACAGTCAAAACAAAATTGTGTCTATTTCACCCCCTTCGGTCTCTTTCAACCGGTACTGTGTCTATTTCACCCATTTCGGTCTCTTTGAATCGGTACTTGAACCGATACTCGGTTTATTTCACCCCTTTCGGTCTCTTTGAACCGATATTGGGTCTATTTCACCATCTTCAGTCTCTTTCAACCGGTATTGGATCTGTTTCACCCTTACAACTAAACATACAATCATATCAACAATAGTCACAAAGACAATAAGCTCATACATGCATAACATTAAGTATCATAAAGACAACTATTATCCTACAAACATAATCCAGTGGGTCGGCATTGGTGCCTTCGACCCACGTGTACAATGAATGAACTCACCTATCAAACAATGATCAACTGCAACTACCACTACTGCTATGAACACAGATGCTATTAACCACTTATACAGTCATATAAACTCTTAGCTTTTCTTCCAAGACCAGGGATTTGACCAAAAGTCAACGCAATTCAAAAGTCAAAGTCAACGGTCAAAGTTGATTCACCACGTCGTGGCCCATGGGTCTAAACCAGATCCAGACCCGAGTCAAAGAAATCAACATATCACAGTTTTCCATGTCGTGGCCTTCCTTGGCCATATTGTGGGCATAAGATGACAAAACAACCGATCTGACCAAAGTCGTTATGGTGTGGTGACCTGATGCCACGTCGTGGTTACTGGATTCCAAACAACTTAATGGATTAAGCTATTTTCTTTAACCCCAATGAGCTTCAAAGCCCAGATCTAGTCAAAAACATGGTCTAGAAGGGTAAAGTTTATGACTTTACCCATTAGGACCATCCAAAAGCTCCAAAAACTCAAACTCTGGGTTCCACAAGGCATGAGCTTAACCATTAAGAACTTATTACTTTAAGTCTGAAGTCCATCTTTTCCAGAAGTGTTTCTAACACTAAAACCAACATAAAAGTTGATGCTTTATAGATATGCATGTCCAATGCATGTCTTGAACCTATATTAGATCAAAATGAGAGTTTATGACCTAAATCTCATGTATGAATTCATAATACAACCAAACTTCATATCCAAGCCACAAACTATCCCAAATGTCTCACGGATTCATAAAGTTGCAAACTTTATGAGATCTTGTTAGGCGTGTCAAACCCAACAACTAATGAGGTACGACATACTCCAAAAGAATCTCACTATATTGCACTAAAAGGTAGTACAAGGCAAGTAGGGTCGATCCACAGAGACACTGGATAATTAGTCTATACCTTTTTGTGCAAGGTACTATGGTCACCAATAGTAAAAACGGGGTTTAGAGTGCAATGACTAAACAAACAAATTAAAAACACACGATGTCAGCTAAATGAGTGAATTAAATTCAGGTTTT